CACTCATTTTGTTTACTTCTAAAAAAACACATTAAATTTATGGCTAATATTCTGCCTTTGAGCAGAATTAAGCAGGCAAGTTCACATCAAAGCTTTGTTTCATCATCTTCAGACTGATCTGTTGGAAAAGACAGCTGGTCCTTATTAAACACCCTTTAAATGTTGTAGTTTTAATTAAGCAACATCCATGTTATATTAACATTATCAAATAATTAACTAAAGAAAAGCTAGTATCTAATCATGAGTGCTTAACATCTTTTCATCAGTGGACTATACGGTATTAATCTATTAAAGCAGAAATTGTTCTTAAATGTCTCAAGATTTTAAATTAAGAAGTCTGATACAGTAATTACTATACTTCTACTTACTCAAAATCAGATTTTGAAGGGAAGTAACACAGTGAGTGGAATTAAACGTCTAAACTAAGGGACAGGATCTAGACAGAAAATCTGTAATAGTCCTGAAATACTTCAGTTGCAGAAACCTTGTTAAATCGACAGCTTATGAATTAGCATCATATTCAAATTTCTCCATTTCACACAAACATATAAGGAAATACACATTTTTGTTGTTAATACTGAGAGTTGGTTTCAATTACGTAAGCAGGCTTATGTTTCCATACTTTTGTTCTCTAGATTGTGTGTTTGAATGCTCATTTTGAAAACACAACACTAAATTGTATAACCTCATAGTTCATGAGGAAGCATTCATCTGCTTATTTAAATAACATACTTAAGCTACATTGTGAATTTTTAAATTAACTTAAATATGCAGACAGTCATCAATGCTTTTTGACACTGGAGTAAACATGGGGTCACAGTCTATGCTACACTACTTGATAAATGGAACTGCAAAAAAAAATCCCACAACCCTGGAGGGATCTTGAAGCCAAATTCTAAGCTAAACAAAAATAATAGAGATGCCTACCTGCATGACTGACCATGCTTGCAAAGCCTTGCACTCAACATGTTGCATTATATCTCATCAGAGAAACGCACTAAGCTTTAAATGACACATCTAATCAATTCTAAAATACTATCACATTGCTCTGCATGACAATAGAGAGAAATCTATTGATACTAAAAAAGCAGAAAAAAATGGAAGCTACAGAACTGCTGGCATCTGGTCTGCAGAGCTTTCAACCAGCTCTGGAACTGTCTATAGATTAAAGAATCCCCTGATGGCAAACATTAACACCTTCCCCCATGCTTCATCTGAAGTCTGCCTTCTGCTCCATACCCTTTAAAATTTTTCAGTACTCTGCAAGAGAAAAATCTGATTTTTGAACTGATAGAAAATAATAAGAAATAAAGGGAGGAATTTAAACCCTGGTATTTTTTTTTTTATAATTTTTTCAGGGTATTCTTCCTCCTACATAAAGTTACCAAAACATATATTTAGCTGGGAAAATTATTTCAGTATGACTTAGCTCCGTGCTTAGAAAAATCCTAGCTGTAGAGAAGAGTGAGTGTGTGTTGGGAGGAATGCTTAAGGAGACAAATGCAGGCCCATAGCAGGCATGAGCCTAAAGAATAATTAGACAGGCAGAGCTCCTGATAGCAGAATGGTAGGAAATGGGGATCTTCAGAGTCTCTGCTATGAAAGAGAAGAGGAAATAGAAAGCTCTTTAAGTAAAGAGCATAAAAGATGACACAGGGAGAATTTCAGGGGAGAATGCACGGGAACAGAGATCCCTAGTATGTCTGATCAGCTTTGCTTAGCAGAGCAAAGGAAGTTACAACTCCCTGCTAACAAGAAGGCGGGGGGGAAAGAGGTTTGTTAAAATGCTGTATTATTTATTTTTTCTCATCATACAGTCTCATTAAATTTAAGCTTTATACTGAACACGGTTCAGTGCCAGAAACTTCAGAGGAATTAAACATATGAAAAAAATTACTCATGTGTGTAGTCCCTTTAGAATGTACAAAACAACTTGAAAGTAAAGTTGCTCATGTGTTTAACACTGAATAAATGAATCTGAAATATATTCAAATCATCATCAGAGCCCAAGTCTGCCTTCTCTGTACACCTCATGGCTTGTTTCTAGGATGAAAAAAAATTCAGACACTACTTTTCCAGAATAGCTCCCCATGTGGACATACTTATTGTAGATTAAGAGGCCCTTCCCCGATTTATTTTTTCTGGATAAATGTACGCATATGATGTAGTAAGAACATCCACATGGAAAGCTACTTTGCAATACTATTCTGCTTTAAGCAAACGTTCTACCATAATCCAAAAGAACATTAGGTGTAGAAATTCATTCTGTTTAGCAGAAATTTTAATGTAAGAAATCCTAGACTTAGCAAAGTCAATCAAAATTTTAAAATCCTAGACCCACTGAAATCACTGATAAATCTTAGCGACAGTAATGTTAAGATACTCATCCTGATACTAACTGCTTTCCTGCTGCAGACAGATGTTGAGCTTGCAAGACAAATGCTCGAGTATTACTAGAGAAGGCGATTAATACAGGCATATATTTTGCAGTGGAACTTGTAAAACAAACAAACAAACAATAATCACACCCAAAGACTTTAGTTTTGAAAACATTGGCTATTAAGAATAATTTCAGGAGCTATGAACCAAAACATTAAATACTTCCTCATCACATTCTTTTAACCACAGTCCAGTAATACGCTCTCAAGTCAAGCTTTTATTGACACAAAACACTGAGGAAACTTAAAACTGTATTTTGTATAGTGAAAGGCAAATGAGCATTACTTGTATAAATGAACCAAGATGAAATGGAGATTTTCAAGAACAACACTCATACAATAAAAAAAAAAAAAAAATCATCAGGCTGGGAAGTGTACCACACATTCACAGTTTTAGCAGAGAAAAATATCTAACATTAGTCTGTATCTTAACGTACATATAAACACCCAGCTATCTACATTTTATTTCTCCTTAAACAACTATTAAAAGTTAACTGATATTTTTCTAGATTATTTACGCCATTGAGAATTACCTCAATTCAACTGCTTCATTTAATGCCATCTAGACATTTTTACTTTCTCTATATAGTTACGATTTATTCGTTCCCTTAACATACATTAATTAGACACTACTTATAAATAACCTGCAATAAGAATATCTATTTGAATAGGATACAATTACTCCAGGGCTTGTGTCTTTTCAATCAGTCAGTGTCCCTGCAGTGTTTAGAGTGGCAGAGGGGAAGTGGCCTGTGGTTAAACAGAGGAAATACCATGGAATTTTAATAGATCAAATAGTCTCCTTACTTCCTACAGGGTACTACTTCAAAGGCAACCCTGCTCCAGAGCAGACAATGTGTTAGAGGGGTCATCAGTCATTTAATAGTATGTCAAGTCTACTCAAAACTTACATGCAGACCAAGAAAAATACCACATAACTGAGACAATGGGTACTATCCTGCAGTCATAACTCTAATAAATGCTGCCCTGCCTGGATTATGTAGGCAATCATAAGCAAGTCTGGTATTACAAAATCTGACTATGAAATTATAACTGAAAAATGAGACAAAGCATCCAATAAATTGGTTAGGGAAGTCTGAACTTGAAGCTGAAAATATAACAGAAAACTAGCACAAATATTTAATGAAGTGTTACATTTCTCATAAGCAACAAAGACAAATGTTTTTTTTATCCTAATTAGAAAGAGTGTAATTTTTACTGATCTAAAAGCCAGTCAACATAGTTCTATTAAAAGAATTGTACTGTGGTACATTCAGATTTAATACACACAACGACATCAATTATGTAAGCAAAAATAAATCCAATACAAACTTCATCTGCATATTTCTGTACACATCAAAATACACTAATCAAGTGTTAGGACTTTCAACAGTGATAGTTTATTCAATACCTGATGCAAAACTTAACAGAAATACACACAGTGGTCGTTGTGGGCCTATGGAGTATCCTGCCTACATCTGGTGAAACATACAATAGACACACTGAGCCAAGAGATTTTATTCCTAATTCTCAGTTAAAAAGACCTAATAGGGGAGTCCAAACCTCCAACAGTTCCATCTAACTATCTAGGTGTTAAGCTTTATCAGGGCTTGAGCTTTGTTTTTCCATACTCTTCTACACATTTTCCAATGCTTTCGCCTTTCTAAACTACGCCCTACAAACTTCTGAACTGTGTGTTGCAGTAACGTTCTCAAAAGATCTGATCCGAAACCAAGAAAATCCTTAGTGACACTCTAACAAAAAGGAAAAGCAATGAAAGTCAGTTGTGTTCCTTCCAGTGCTGCTGGATCACCACGCTTCAAACAAATTTGTAACTAGACATCACGAGAAACGAAAAAAAAAAAAACAAAACCACACAACTCAAGTTACTTAAAAATATCAAAAAGGGAAAAGCAATCAAGAAAAGTCTGACAGCAAAACACACCAGAAACAGGAACAAAAGGCAAAGACCAGTAACAAAACGTTTATCACCTTCCTCCCCCCTTCCCCCTTTCGGAAATTTCCTACATCCTCTGTATAATGATCAGGCCTGAAGCTAAAACCCCAAGCCGGCCTCGAATCATTAAAATAACAAAGCCCAAGTGATCGCTTTTATCCTTCTCGCAGCACAGGTCGACTTAAGGAAGGGGAGAGCGCTGGTGGTAAAGGACTGTTAAGTGACTTCTTCACACTCGCTGGTTACAAGATGCCTCCCTCCCCCGGGCGAGAAACCAGTAAACATCCCTTCCCGGGAAATGTCACCCTCTCTCCTGGCCGCAAATTACCTACCAGATGCAAAGCCCTGGCGCAGCTTTATTAGTTGTAGAAGACGTTTTTCCCCTCCATGGCAGCCCGCTGCCTCCTCGCACACCCGGGGAAGTGCCCGTCCCACCTGTACCGCTCCCACGGCCGCTTGCCCACGGGGCAGCGCCCCAGACCCCGACACTTGCAAAACTCTCAGCATCTCCCCCTCAAACACTGCGGTGCGCAAAAAGCCCCGCTCCACACACACACACGCCCGCCCACGAGGGGAACCGAGGAGCAACGCTGCACTGCACTCACCCTCCCTCCGCAAGCCTCGGTCGCTGCCCCCCTCCTGCCGCCGGCTGCCGCGGCGACCCGCTGACCATCGAAACAGGCGACGAGCGCGACGAGGAAGGAGCCGAGCCCCAGCCCCGGTGCCATGGTGCGCAGCCAGCCCAGCAGCCCCGCAGCGCCCAGGCAGCGCGACGGCACCGGGGGCGGGGGGCGGCCGCTGCCACCGCCCTGTGCATGCGCGGCGCCGGCCCGGGGGCGGGGGGGCTCCTCCTCGGCCGGGCCCCGGCCCAGGGTTCGGCCCCGCCGCCGCCACCGCCCCCGCCCGGGACGGGGCGGGGGGGGGGGGGGGGAGGGCGCGGCCCCCAGCAGCCGCAATGGGCGTCGGCAGGACGCGGGGGCTGCCGCTGACGCCCCCCCCCCCCCCCGGCACCCCTCCCCCGGAGCAGCGGGGACGCGGGGCCTCCCCAACGGCGGGTTTGTGAGGCTTCCCTGAAAAATAACGGCCGGTACCTGGGATCGGCTTCCCCGGTGCTCTTCCCTGGGAGCGATACCGTAGCTGCTGATCCAGATACTGCAGCACTGGGCACAGTTCACGGTAACCCCCGCGTCTGGGCTCCCTTCTTGCTCCTGCAGGAAAGGGTAGAGGCCACCTGGCTAACGGGTCTGATCTTCATGAACCACAGTGGTACGGTCCAAGTACTTGGCAAGATCAGGGCCACAGGCCAAAGATGGATCATAAACCTTCAACAAATAAAGTGTAATGCATGAAATATTAAGAAAGACAAGCTGGAAGAATATGCTATCATAGAATTTCAATTGCAGAAAATGCAATAGAAGTTGCATGTCGCAACAAATATTTCAGCTTTTTCAATTGGAGTCTCTACAGTTAGTTTTGGTATTACAGGTTTTGACCAAAACCTCTTTCTTAAAAAGAAATCACATTACTAATATATTTCAAATGCAAGCTGCTCTGACATAGCAGTGAATTATATCAACTACAAAGCCCTTGCCTGAAATTCTCAAAATCACCTAAGAGATGAAGAAGCCCAAGGCTCCTCCAAAGCATAGAACCACAGTATAATCCAGCCTGGAAGGGACCTCTGAGGGTCATTAGGTCTAACCCTCTGCTCAAAGTAGTCCTAACTTCAGTTTTAGATCAGGTAGCTCAGGGCCACATTATATGTCACTTTTGACATCACTTGACTCCAATTATTTTTTAAATTTTTGATTTTAGCACATTCTGTTGCTATGATTAATACTAGACAAAAACATAATCCTAATGGAATAGACAAATCCACCAGCATTATAAAACACATTATGGTTTGGATTAAATCAATATGCAAACACACCGCTAAGCCAATCAGTTGAAAGGAAGCGTGACTAGTTGGTAATTTTTAAACTAGTACTGGTTTTACACCTATCACAGTGGTTTCCTTTGTGACTATTGGCAAAAATAATACAATAAAACTCTTTTAAACTGTTTGTTTAAGCTGATGAATCACAGTTCTTGCACTCACAGTTACCTTTGAAAACAGGTTTGTGATTTCAGGATGGTCATAGCCCTTCGCTGTGACATGAACAGAAATTACATTCTTGCCATTAAACATCGTTTAGCATAAATTGGAGATTAGGCCATAGTCCTTTTAAGGCTCTGGGAACCCGTGATGTTTACTTTTGATCTCCATTTCCCCTGCAGGCTGGAATTCTGAAAAAGGGAATATTAAGACTACTCATTCTACAGGTGTAATTTCACTAGTTTTATACTACAGTGTTCTCTAAGGTTGAGTATATGCCAGACTAGAAGTAAAGTCTAGCACACATTTCTTCACTATACACCATACACTTCTATCTGGGTACTCTTGCTTTACTTTCTCCTTGCATTACTCAGAAGTGACCAAACAGGCTTGAAAACTATATAAGCCTTTTTTTTTTTTTTTTTTTTTTTATTTAAGTCAGGCTGTATAAAAACTATAAAGAACTTGTCTTTTGATGTTTTAATGCATTACAAAGGACATAAAGCAACACAATATCATGGCTAAAGAAAGCAAGACATATGTACAATTTACAGGACAATAATGTCTCTGCTGCCCATAACCACCTACGACAAGCAATGACTCCCTGTTGAACACATCTCCACTGATCTGCAAACACATCTCCTAAACTATGGAGTAACCTGTTTGGCATTTTCTGTTAACAGAGATCTAAACTGCTGGATAACCTGAAATTTTTAAGTGGGAACTAAGAGGAATATTAGCATTATGTGTACTATTGATGCATTAGCCTACAATGATTTTAACATAAAGAGATATAATGAACAGTGACATTTCCTAAGTAGCAAAAAAACTGAAGAACTCTCAGCTACCACTGATAACATTGGCAGTACCCAGAAACCAGCAAATGATCTGTCTTATTTACTAAGACCTCAAACTTATTAGCACAAAGCAAAGATGCCACCTGACAAAATCAGTGTTGATGGCCCCTTCCCAATAGACCAGCTTAAGTTAATAACAAAATGACACACTTTAAAAAAAATTTCTTTCCATACTGTCACCATGTCCAACTTACTAACATAAGAACTGACTGAATACAGTAGTTTTTCATTTCTTTGCATGCATTTAGAATAATTTCAACTGAAATCTTTTGTGGAAAAGGTTAGGGGAGAGATGGGAATCAAATGACAGCAGTTAACATTTTTAGCTAGATTCTCCAAAATGCTCCTAGCTAATGTAAGGGCTAAAGTGGCTGTGGGGACTCCACTTTTATGTAGGCTCTTTTGTCCTTTTTACAACAGTCTCTTGTTTCCAAATAGTATAGGATGCATAATATCCAAGTGTCATGGGTTTCAATATCACGCATTCTACAGCTGGTTTTGGTTGCCACTCTACCTTCTTGCTTAAAGCTAAAAAACATTTTTTTTTTTCCTTCCCCTTTCTGAGCAGCTGTTCCCAGATGGAGGGGACAGTGAGAACTCAGCAGTTCCAATAAAAACTTACGTAATAAAAAATTCTGATAATATGATTAAAAATTCCCTACCAAATTTTTCTGTCATTCAGTAAAAATCCCTTCTTAAGAGTTGGAAGCTGTATGCTCTATCCATACTTTGCATTTCTAGCACTGAAATCTCTCCCAAGAAAGACCAAACTTGACCTCAAAAGGAGTTATGAAAACAGCTCGCTTTTGGGCCAGAAAGCATGCATCATGCTTGTAGAAGCATTCAGCTTAGTCAGACAATCACGACTATTGCAATATTACACTTCTGTTGTAGAGAAACACCACCCGCTGTTTGGAAATGAGGATGAGCTACAGTGAACCAAGCAAACAGTACGCTAAAAGGACAGCAGCATTTCAGAAACCTCCTACAGGTCTGGAGTCACAAAGTATCATCTCACTCTCCATAAAAGCACAAATAAGGTCCCAGAACAGAAAACCCACAATATGAGGGTCTACTGGAACTTGATCTGACAGATAACAGAAGGCAGAAAACCAGATAATTTGAAAATAACCACTTAAACTAAAGTGTCCCGCTTCCATGGGGATGGTTTACCTATGGAATGAACATCTAGCATAAAAAGGAAGAAGGAAGATCTTCTAGTATGAAACCTTAAGAATGAAATTAGAAAGTGTGAAATGGATGTGGACACTCTCAACAAGGGCATGAACATTCCCACCAGTGACAAGGGTCCCAAAAATTCTACTCTGATGGAATCTTCCATATTATAACATGCCGTAGTTTCAAAAGATCTGGCTAAACTCAAGTGAAAGCGTTTCAACTGGTAAGACAGTGACCCCAGGCCATAAAAATCAACTGAAATTTGAATCAAATCTATCAATTGTTATGAATACTTATCTTGTTCAAGGCAACTTTTAAATCATTAGGCCTTGAGAAATGTGCCAAAAATTTGTGAAAAACAGAGTTCTGAAAGGAAAATCTGCATTACTGGTCCCATTTTATAGATGGGGAAACTTGAGCACTGAGTCATAAAGATGCCTGCTTTTATGTCTTGCACACATGCTCAAGGCAAAAGCAATAATTAGATTTAGAGTCAGGAAAGACTCTGCCCCCTAGTAAGACAGGAAAAGACCCCTGGGTGTAGGTTTTCTTGTTTTTAATTTGCTGCTTTCTATAGACACACACTCTACTTCCTAAGGTCATCCAGACGTTACCAGCCTCTGCTTAAAATAGTTTGGGCCGTGGAGCCCAGATCCAGCCTCCAGAGCAATTCCATCCAAGTGGCTGCTTCTATCTTGCAAGTGGCAAAGAGCACAGCATGCTGTCCTGGCAGCCAGCTGCCTCCTGCTGTGTCCAAACATTTATTGGCACTTCTGGAGTAGCTGCTGCTGTGTCCAGATGGGACTTGAAAGTGGAATTAGATGCATGAATTCTGCTTTGACACTGGCAGCCACCACTTCTATATCCAGATGCTTTGCAACAAATTCTGAAATTGAGCACCCAGTTCTTCAATGCTGAATAAGCTACACCTTACAGAACCTCTTGTAGTGTACTAGCAGTAGTATTTCTCTCCTGCTCACTTTTTATATCACACTGTTATGTTTGATGTTTTTTCATACAAATCTCAAGTCTATCTTTAGGTGTCTGGGGATGTTTTGAGGCTTATAGAGTCCACAGAATATGGAGCGAATGGTTTTGTGACCTTTCTGGATGACTTAATGTATTCTACAGGAAATTGCACTTAATGACCAAGAAAGTTTCAGTCCTATATTCCTAAAGGCTGAAGTTAACATCAGATGTAAGTCATGGTGAAAAGGAACTGACCAAAATAAACCAAACAGTCATTATGTGAAAATTACCTCTGATCACCGTCAAAATAACAATTTATCAGTGATCCACGGATGCAAATCTTCATATAATATTACCACTCCCCAGACCTCACAGTTCTCTGTATTGTATACAGGCCAGCTTGTTCTGCTGGCAGAGAACATTTGCAGCCAAATGTCAACTCTCTGTATTTCTGTTTAGTTTTGCATCTGTTTATTCATGTGAATATAATAAAGGAGCAGACAGCTCAGTTCTCTGAGATGACTCAACTTACTGATATGCCACCAAATACACTCCTCTGTGCTCCAAAAGCATGCTGAATTGACTCCCTCTGTGGCCACATGTTGTTTCTGAGAAAAGAGGGAGCAGGGCAGGACCGCATCTTTCAGCAGCAGTCTTCTGTTATACCGGATTAGATGTAATA